AATATAATTACAAAATTAAAAAAAGAAACATAACAACAGAGAATAAAGACAAAATAAGACAACTTAGGGGACAATGGTTAAAGAAGATCTTAATAACCAAAGGAATGAAGAGTATACATCTTAATTAAACCAATACACACTTATATTCACACACACACACACACACACACACAAGACAGACAGACAGACAGGCAGGCAGGCAGGCAGGCAGGCAGGCAGATAGGCAGACAGGCAGACATAGAGAGAGACAAAAGCATACAGAGAAAGACAGAGAGTCTAATTTTCTTTGAGTTTAACTCTCCACTTCATGAATATGTTACAGATCTTTGTGCCTAAAATGGACTCCTTTTGTACTTGCAGATTCAACCTTGCCCCGATCTTCCCTTTTCATGTATAGTAAGTATTGAATCCCAGCTAGACTGACTATGAGATGCAATTTATGTTCCAATTTCTTAACACTGAATTGACCCTATGTCTAGCTGAAAACCATACAGTGTGGTGGAAGTGACGATCTGCTAGTTCTGAGCACAGATCTCAATGTTTTTGTCCACTTCCTGTCTTGGAACTCTTCCCAAATGGTGTGAGCAGGTCTATAGCAGGCTGCCTGTGCATAAAAACATCACATGGAGCAGGGAAGAGCTGGCCATAGATCTTGAGAGCTTCTGCACCCGCTAATCTTTTTCAATGCAGCAATGTAGTGAAGAGACTTGCTATATGATCTAGAATTGCTGATTAATAGAATTCCGAGCTACACACATGGCTCAAGCCAGTATGTTATGAGAGTCAAACAACTGAAATACATACAATACTCTACTGTCTCCAAGACAGTTCTTATCACAACATGTCCATATTAGAATCAAGGACTTAAGTGATCACCCAGTTGATCCTTTAGGTGGAAGTCACACTCAGTGTGTGTTCGCTGTGCATCATTTAAGCTGTGTGCACAGCAAGCACTCAGTGTTTGATGAAATGAACTGAAATGAAAAGCCAATGTTGATGTTCAACAGCATTTCTACTTCACATTTCCCACAGAACTGTTAAAAAGTAAAGAGCCACAAAGAGTCTACTGCTGGCCCACAATAATGCCTAAAGATGAATAACTCTAATTCCTGGAGTGTAGCTACCATTTTAAAATGGTTCCTTAAATGAGAATTTATTTTGTCCTCAAGCTTTTAACATTCGCCAATGTTGGAAGATGAAATAAGATATACATATTTTACATGTAAAACTAAACTCATATAACACAAATATGAAATGTTAAGAGAAAGCCTCTCAACTTGCACTGCACAGTTCATTATTATTAATAGCAGATTTTCTAATTCTAGGATCTTAACACATGAAAAGTGTATGCCAATGTACTTTAACTCTGAAATATCATGAAAGCTTGTATATTCAAAATGTCATTTCACTTTTTACCTTAAGAAGTAGAAAAATGGAAATAGAGTATGTGGAAAAAAAGGATGAATAGCTTTATAATCCACATCTAATTTTCTTTCTAATGAAATTACAGGGCTTTTAAATTACACTCTGCTATTACAGCCTATACAGAGAGTCTTTCATCAACGGCCATATTTTGAATATGTTTTAAATTATCATTCACCTAATTGCATCTGAAAGTCTAACACAAGAGAACGTGAGCGCATGCTCGGCATGACACTTAGAAACCAGACAAATAAACAGCCAGTATCTGCATGGCATTGAAAGAGCATGCATCCTAATGCGCACCAGGTCAGACTCCTTTTATATGGGCATATACCCTACATCTTGCCTTTTATGGAACTCTGCTTGGGACAGGCACAGCCGCTGCCTGACATGGCTACTGCCATCTTGAAATTACAGCACCTATGATTACCTACAGGAAACTCCCACAAGTCTGGCCCTTGTGCATTCCTCCTGGAAGTGGAGAAGAGCGCATGATTCTCCTCCCCTCTCTGAAGGTGCAATTACTGGGGCAGGGGCAGTTCTTCTGCAATGGCTTAGCTGCTGTAAGTTGCTGGTACTTCCTATAAACAACCCCTTGAATCTCCAATAAGTAACTCCAGCTGGACTTGGGTGGAATTGGAGGTTTTTTTTGGGGGGGGTTCCTAGGGGTTGTTGTGTATGCTCTATCTTGGATAAATAGATGCTTGATTTAAAAAGTCTTATAATATTTGCTTTTAATTTTCACTTCTGGTATTTCCATTACAATTTTAAATTATTTTATTTACTATTATTAGTGTGTGAAGAGGGAGCATGGGGAGGATGCACCTGCAACCATGGATATCAGAGAATAACTTTATGAAGTCAATTCTTTCCTTTTACCTTTATATGGGTTCCAGGGAGCAAACTCAGGCAGGTTTTCATGGTAAATGCTTCACTTGCTGAGCCATGGTACTAGCCCTGCTAATTTCATTTACTGTTTTGATCTTTGACTTGTAAAAGCCTAATTAAGTCTATTAATAAGTCAAATAATAAAATCAGAAACTAAAGATTTAGATAGTTATGAGAATGACAGAATTTCTGTGCTGACAAGTCTTAAAGAAGAACAGAGATAGTGAAAGCCTGACCTGTAGGTTTAGTCCATAAAACTACTATCTACAGATGAGATGATCAGGAAGCACTCCTGCAGAGAAAAGACACCAGCATCAGTAAGAAGATGCCAGGCAGCATAAGGAACAGAAAGCCAATGCCTCTTCTAAAACAAGCAGGCAATGAAAGGGCTAGCACTAAGACAAGCTATGGCCATCTTTATGATGAGACTTCTTGGAGGTGAAAGTGTTGTTCTGAGTAGAGTTCTCCCCAAGTGAGACCCAACACATAGTGTGGGTTGGGTGTTCTGCAAAGATGGAGGGAACATGGCAAGTTCTTATCGTACACCCCTCCCCCCAATTTAGAATTGTGCTTTAGAATTGTGAGGAGTACAAACAACAGGACACTAAGCCACACCTCATCTTATGTTAAGTCCTCTATAGTAATGTACAAATGGAATTTTACTTATAGTTTGAACATCTGAGAATGGTCTAGATGAACAAAAAGAAAGAGATCTTTTTAGCCCAGAATGTGAACGGCTTGCTTTGTAGTATGTCAGCTATCTGCCAACACAGCCTTAAACTAAGGATGTTGTTCAAATCATCTAGGTTGAAAATTACCCCTTTCCAACTGCTGTAACAGATAAAGGAATACGTAGATTTATGACACACTGAATAAGAAGCAACACAGTCTGTCATTATCAGTAAAATTTTATAGTTTGGGCTTTTAGCATTTAAACATCACAAAAGAAACTCTGGGGAGTAGGAATGCAGCCCAAACAGACCCTTCAGCATCTATACCACTATTGCTCACCCAGAGCTCACAAATACTTGAGCTCACCCTGATGTGCTTTCCCATTTGCCCCTCAGATCACATTGTTTTTGAACACTAATTGTTTTCTATAGTTGTCAAAGTCACACACTACTGAGAATGACAACATTTTCTTTGCATGAACAATGAAAAAAAAAAGACTTTTTCTTGGATTGTCCTTCCAATGAAAAACACTTTCTGTTTTCCAAGAAGCTTGAACTGGCTTAGAGGTTTTGGAGAACAAATTCCAGAGGGAGGGAACAGATCCCCCATTGAACCCTAAAACAAAATTTCACTCTTCCCATCTTAGATCAAAGGCTAAAACTTGATCATCTCAAATCTAGAGATGGAAGGTATTCAGTGGTTGGGGGGGGCATTTCTGACAATGCTAGGAAAGCTTTATGAAAAAGAGAACCCCTATCCCAGCCCCCAAATATTAAGTTGGCACACGTTTCTGGGACGTGGCCTGAATCCTCAAACCTTCACAGGACTATAGACACATGATTCTGCTGAACAGGGCTTTCCAGAATTGTCATCAATGACAGATTACACCGCCCATCCACAAGGGTCCAGGGCTAGCTCAGGCCATCCATTACTGGTTAAAAGCTATTCCGGCAGGAATCCAGGCACAGTGGTAAGGAGGTTACTCAGACAAGGGGTCCTACAGCTTTAAGAAACACTCTGGGCATCTACAAGTTTTCAGAATGCAAACTATGTCAGCTTTGAAAACAAGAGGCACTGCATCATTATGGCAGGAGAAACAAAGCCAGCCCCCTTCTAAAACAGACAAAAAAAGATTGTTTTAATAGGAGAGAAGCATCAGTCATTGATGCTTACTTCATTCACACTTTCTATCCAACCCCATCCATCTTCAGAGTGAAGAGATGACAGAGTGCAGTTACAGCTCTCCCTTTTGGCCCCCACCCACCTTGTTCTACTATCCCCAAAACAACAGGGCCTACCATCCACCCTTTCTAGTCTGCAAGAACAGCCCTATGGGTGGCCTTTCCATCTTATGGGCTTGCCATAGCTCAGGTAGAGCTAAGTACCAGCCTTCATCATGATACTGTAACAGGACTTCCCATCAGGCTAGCATGACTGGTCAGAACCTTTGCAAACCATCTGTAAGCACCCTACTCTGTTGTAAGCACCCCACTCTGTGGCTGATAGCTCACTACATTCTACAAAGGAAGCAACAGAAGGTAGGAGGCAGCAAGGAAAAGTCAACAAACCAGGCTAACAACCCAGAAAGCAAAATATTTCATTTTCCTTCAACATTACTGGCCACATTATCCACACACAAAGTTTTCTAGGCAGGCAGTCTCTGCATCAGTGCACCTGTTTAGCATGGATTTGACGAGTCATCTTTTCGCTGTGTCTGCAGAAGTCAATGGCCACACAATGGATCGCATCACTTGAGGGTCACTTGAGTCCCTCTACTCTATGGATCCCTCCACCCACCCCCTGCCTACACTTCTACCCACAAAATCTTTACTCCACCATTGCTAAGGATCTCAGATAGCTAAATAAAAGAGGTGGCCTCAAACACAGGGAAAAGCCCTTAGGTCTCCAGTGTGAATCACCAATGCCAAACCCCCTCCCCTCCCCTTTTCCTTAAGACCTGATGGTCTTCAGTCACACATCTTAAAAGAAAAACAAAAAACAAAAACACAAAGACTTACTTGTCTCAAGTCGATGAAGGCCAACTGCAGCGTGTCCTCCTGGAACCCAGGCACCGGGCCGGATCTGGCAAACTCTGTGGGAAAGAAAAGAGGATAAAAAGCGCCTTTAACTAACCATGGACAGGGAGATTGGCAGACGGATGACAGGGAAGACAAGAGAGGCAGGGGGAGAGGAGGCCTGAGCTTCTAAGGAGTCATGTCTCTCTCCCTTCAACTTCTTTGTTGGCCCTTCAAAATTCGTGTCATCAAAACACCATTAATTCCAGCATCCTGACAGCAAGGAAACTGTACTAATTCGACCTGAAATTTATTCCCATGAGCCGCTCTGGGCTTCAGAGTATTTGTTTTGTGAATGGACAAACAACTTGCAAAGGAAGAAGGGAGGGGGGAGAGAAAAAAGTTTTTCCACTCAACACAATAAAATCTTCAGCTGAGAAACTCTTTTCAGTTGTGAAAGCTATTTATATTTCAGATCACTGAAGGAATTTTCTAATTTCACGCCTGTCACCTCATTCCCTAAGCATCTATCAAAAATATTCCCTGCCACATCATTAATTATTCCCTCACTGATTATTTGTATTATCTCATGAGTGCCAACCTCCTACACAACACACACGCATGTACACCACTAGCAGCAGCTGCTGCCTTGATCAGAATTTGGCTTAAAAGAGAAAAGCAGTATTGGCAGATATGAAGATGCCCACCTGGATGAGGCTTATTACAGATGGTAAGGGACATTTGCATATGTGTATCCTTCTCCTGCAGTCTTTGCCCTTGACTTTCATTTCCATGCTGCTTTAAAAATTCCATCTTTTCTTCCCTCCACCTGCTTCCTCAAAGGTCAAAGATATAGATGCTATCTGCATTTCTTAGTAGCATCTGAGACAATGCACACTTATAATTCTGGCTTGCACATCTTTATCAAGAAAGAAATGGCAATGGGCTACAGGGACAAATGCTACTACAACTTAAGAATGCCAAGTTTATCATCTCTGAACCCTGCTTATTAGAAAATCAAAATGTCTGAAGATCCTTCCACACAGACAAGCATGTAGCACAGTCAAGATCTGAGAGTTACTGTAATTTTATTCTTCTTGTGAAGCCAAAGCATGATGGGCATTTCATATCCATCTACTATTTATAATAAAAGCAGCTCAAATACTTGGAAAAAAAAACTTGAAAAAAAGTATTTTCCTTTCAGATACATATTCTTCAAGTTGGAAGTTAAGAACCGATAGAACTGCTATAATAGTCTTCTTTTTATTTTTCACAGCTAGCTAGAAAAGTAGAAGGCTCTCTATATAGGACAAATTCAAAAGATATGTACAAGGACAGATTACTGCTTGTTTGGCATTGCCTCTCCCTTTCCACTCATTTTGAAACCATAACAGATTTACATAAAATTACTGTCTCAGCTTTAAAAATAATGCCAAATTAGACTGTAGAGACAAGGGAGCATCATATGAAAGAATTATAAATCAGCATATTAATTTAGATATAGTGTAAATGTGGTATATACCTACATTCAAAATACTCTTATTGCAGGCATTTCAAATAAAAAGGATGCACAAGAAAAGAGATCAACTCACAGTCAGTAAAGTGGCTGTCTGCTTTGAGAAGAAAATTCATATGCCACTTAGAATCCAACATTATCCAAAAGAGGACTAAGAATCCCAAGTTCCAAAAGAGGAAAGTTTTAAAGTGTACATACATTCAGTGAAAAGCATGCTGATGGAAAGCTTGAGACAGCATACCCTGTACATCAACAGTGATGTGCAGTAAGCAACAGTAAGGATCATATCTGGTAACCTGGTGCATTCCAAATGTACAATTACTTCATATGATGCTCTTGTTGAAACAAGTTCTTTCAGTTATAGCTACAGCCTCTCTTCCCAACAGCCTTGTTGAGTGTTCAGTTTGCATACTTCCTCCAAGGTTGATAGATTGCCTGGAGTAGTCCTCTCTATCAGGAAGAGACCTGATGTTGGGATGTTCTGCTGTCCTGCCTATGACAAACTCAACAGAATTCCCCATGACATACCACTGGAAGGCTTTCAAGCTAGGTTTACATTCATGGTACTCATCACTGAACATGAACCTGGTTGACAGATAACCTGACTCAGGAATCTGCATATACTTCCTGCTGATCTCTGATTTATTTTAGAGACCTGAATTTTATGACATACTAAATCCTTGGGTTCCCACAAGACATTGCAGCCTTTTATCTACCTTTTTATAAAGAGAACCAGAGAATGATAATTATGGCAGATATGATGAAGTAAAGAAATTAATCTCTACAAATCACTTATGGAAATGTTTAATTACTGTAAATTCAACTTCATATCTGTAGTTTTTCCTCTTTTTACTTTATCAGTACTAAGCATCAAACCTAAGGCCTTGTCCATGCTTGTCAAGTATGTTATTACAGAACTCCTATCCTATAATACCTACAATCCCACAGTGATAGTAAAGATAGTAAGTTCCTTAGAGATAAGGATCCTATTACAAAGCATAACAATCATTAAAAATAATAGATGCTCAGGAAGGGGTAGTGAGAAGGATGTAAAGTCAATAAGTAAAAAATAAAATTAAATTTAAAACCCAAGCATGTTTCCAAAACCCTTGAATAAATGTTTTGCATATTAAAAAATAGTAGATGCTCAACAAATATTATGTTTCAATTAAACAAGTTATATAAAATCAAGATTCACTAGAAACACAGACCTATAAATGATAACAAAAGTCTCTGGATTGTTACAAGTTTTAAGGTTTTTAAGGGAACAGGCCTATGTGTGGCAGCAGAAGCAGCAGCAGCAGCAGCAGCAGAAGCAGCAGCAGCAGCAGCAGCAGCCCCAGAACTGGAGCTCTACTTCTCCACTTACTAATTCCTGAGTTTAAGAGATTACTTAACTTTGTTTATGTCTTTAAAAATTATTAAATCAAAAATTAGAATAGCAGTTCATTTCTCATACTGTAGTGATACCATTAAGCCAAGTCAAACATATAAAGCAGCATGACAGAGTGGCAGGCATATCATAACCAATTATCCTTATACCCTTATACTGTAGTGTGTCTGTCTCTCTCTCCCTCTCTCCCCCCCCCCCCCCCCCCTCTCGCTGTGTGTGTGTGTGTGTGTGTGTGTGTGTGTGTGTGTGTGTATGCATTTCTTTATAAAGAAAGGTTCATAGCTTTTATTGAATTCTCAGTGGTTTGGTGACAATGTCAAGAAATATGGTCCTGTGCCTATGACAACAGATGAAAAGAAACAGAGCTGAACTAGAGATGGCTCAGTGACCAGTCATTTATTTATAGGCAAATTTATAGGCAGATACTTAATTATTCTGTTTTAAAGGAGTTAATACGACTAGTCTGTTAGGCACAATACAAAAAATTTCATTTGTATTATTAGAAAAATTAAATTCATTAGGTACAATTTCTGTAATGGTGATTTAATATAGTCTCAGAAATATGACATCCTAGAGTAAAAATATTATAAATACATGAAAACATAGTAAAAACTGTAAATATTTAAAAAACAAAATAAAAATTCACGCAGAGCCTTATTTCAACTAGGTAAAATATAATAGCGATAGGACACATGATAGTAAGCTCCTACCTCACAATTTTATCCAAGGCTGCTACAGAGAGGAGAATGAGTTTTTCTTTGTATTTTACAAACTCTCATAAGGCAATAAGAGGAAATATAAGAAAGCAGGAGTGGTAACATAAAACAGTACTGATCAACAGTGACAAGAGACACAGCAGGATAGACTGACATGAACAAATTCTCGGACACTGACAGGTGGAGAAGGACCACTGATGTGTGGACAAGACAATTTTACATGTACATGGTAAGGCCTCTAGAGCCATGGACTTCTGACAGGAATCACAGACAAGTGGAAGAAGCAGACACAGACATGGACTAGTCCTTCTTGGACTTGTTTCTGGACAGTAGGTTTTCAGTCTCACAGTGACCTGTGTCAGCATGAAAGTGTCCACAGCCTGCAGTTCTGCAGGGCAGCCTCAGCACCATCCAGGAAATAAAAATAACCTGTTTCATTTCACACAGAACCAAACCCTCCCTCTCATCAGTTCCTGTTGCTTGTGGATGGGGCCAAACTCTGGTGAGTTGGCATCTGCTTGCAAGTTAAGTTATACTAGTGGCAAGCAGCATCAACTCATTTGACAGAGTATCATTCTCCCCATCCTCTATCCTATCTTGTCAGGAGGGACTCTCTGAGTGTAACATGGTACCAAGTCCTGACTCTGAGATTCAATTTGAAAATTGAAAAAAAAAATAAGTGAAGAAACTGTCAACTAATTGAAGGCTGAGAAGTAAATGCTAAAAGGAAACTCATAAAGTTACAGAAAAGAAGGCATATAGTCAAAGAAGATTCCAAGAAGAAAAAAAACTTAGAATATCCAACAACCTCTGAAATTCTTAATGCACAAACCTTTGAGATGTGCTCATCATTTTAAGAAATGTTAACTTTCAAAATATCCTGTAAATTTTCCCCCAAATTTATTTTTTTTGTTTACATTACATTTCAATCGAAGCTCCCCTTCCCTGCTCTCCTCTCAGTCTTGCCCTTGCAAATCTCTCCTCATATTACTCCCTCCCCTTTTCCTCAGAGATGAGGAAGCTCCCTTGGGTACCATTCCTCCCTGAGACATCCAGTCCCAGCAGGACTAAGCACTTCCTCTCCCACTAAGGCTCAACCAGTCAGCCCATGTTGGGGAAGTCAAATAATGTTTCACAATCTAATAAAGTTATCAAAGGGTTAAAGAAAGAAATTTTGCTAGTTTCAACTTTTTTCTAGGTTTCTTTTCAGGTTGATGTTAACACTAATAATAAAGTTCATTGATTTGTGGGAAAAGAGAAAAAATATTTCAAATTTCATCTGGCACATTCACAACTGGTTGGAGAAAACAAAATACTTTATAAAGTATAGTGACTTCTGAGGATGCAGTAGGTAAGTAAAGTGCTTGCCTTGTGAGTTTGATACCAGAAAACAGACTTTTACACAAGTTGGCTATCTGAGGCCAGGTGGGTCTGTGAAATTCCAGGCAATAG